TTAAAGCCCGGCAGAAGTTAGGGTTACTTTTTTGATTCAGTTAGAGTTAGCGGTTTATTAAAATATCAAGAACGCGAATTATGCAATATGTAGATCAATATGTAAATCTGCCCCGCTTTAAGGGACCCCTATATTTGGACGGTTTCTCCTGTTGCATAACCACCAAGATCATTTACGAACTGAGTTTTGATTATTAATAAAAATGTTAATTATCGATTATATTGATTATTAATACATAGAAATTTTTTGAAAAAAATTTTTTTTGTTCTGTTTTTTTACACCAAAAGAAAAAAATGGAATCTAATTATTTTTTGCAGCCTATTTTGAAGTATTGTTCTTCATGTCATTCTAACAAATCTGCTGATTTATTTGAAACTAATAAAAAATCTTGTTCGCTATGCTTAAATTGGTTAAATGAAGGATATAAAAGAAAGCGTGAAGAACAATATGTGGATGATATTTATAATATGCAGGAGAAGGCTATTGAGCCAGAGGAAGTCGAAGATATTGTTTATCAAGAATCTATGGATGTTGAAGAAAGTGGACAAGTAAATTTAGAAGTGGTTATAAATTTTTCTAGTATGATAAATGAGGACACTAGTGTATTAGCATTTGAAATTGTAAAGCTTTTTGAGAAGAGCAATTGATATTTTTATATTTATCATAAGAAAAGTTCAATCAACAAACCAAGTTCACTTTATTTACTTATTGGTGTAACTGCTATATTAAATTAGAAAAAAAGATGAAAAAGATTGTAGAAAATCCAAGCAACATAATACTGAATCTCAATTAGATCATTATAATTGCAAAGGTACGATTTTTATTAAAATTAATTTACAAACTAAATTAGCCATAACAATATTAAAACATTTATATTTACATCCATGACCACAGCAAATCAGTATTTCAAATAAAGTTAAAAAATATATTCAAGTGAATTTATCATTTTCTGCACCTGAATTGTATAGACAGATTACTAAGGAAAAATGGATGGTTATGAATTATTAACAGTTGAACAAGTTTATTACTAATGGACCCAGTATATTGTTACAAAATATAAACATGCAGATAATCAAATTGAATCAGCAAAATTATTTTTAAAAAAAAAATTATAAAATTATTTTAGAGTTTGACAATCCAGTAGTTGTATAAGTTTTTGTTACTCCTTTTATTAACACATTACCAAAAATAGCATTTAAAACAATACTTGTTGATGCAACTTACAACACCAACAAGCTCAAATACAAGCTTTATACAATTATAACTAGTGTTGATGGAACAGGATTTCTAATTAGTTATTTATATATTTCATATAGAAAAAATTGTAATATAAGAATAATTATTATGAAATAGTTTAAAGCAATTCATGATTTAGGAATTAGTAATGTTGAAATATTACTTTTAGATAAAGATTTTTCTCAAATTTCTAACACACAATTCATTTGGCAAAATATAAATATACAACTTTGTAAGTAGCATATCAAATATACAATTGAGCAAAAACTTGTGTCTTGTACAAAAAACAAATATATTAGGTATAATGTAGTTGCTGCACATAATGAATATTCAATTATAAACCTAGCATAGAATTGCAATTCGATACAACAAACAAATTCATATAGTAAAGTATTTCTTGAAAATCTTTAAGAGAAGAAATACTTAAATATATTAAAATTCATTTTTATCATCATATGCTTATACCTGTAGCTAATAAAAAATTTATTACTTCACAAGAAATATGGACTCATGCAATTAGTGAGATATTTAATTATTGTTGCATTTGGGTATTATCAACTTCATCTGAAATTTTAGTAATACAGACTACTATGATAGTAGAGTCCTACTGAAAAATATTAAAAAGAGATTATCTATATAAATTTAATCGACCATAAGTTGTTTTTGTTTGTTTTATGCTTATTGAAAAAGTGATATCTATGCAAATGCAATAATTTCAATTACTTTTAAATAGATAGATCTTACCTTTATGGTATAAAGATTTTAAAATAAAATGGCAAAAACTTAGTGCTCATATAATTAAAAATTCTAACAAATATTTAACTAACTATAAGCATTGGGTATGCTCTTGTTCTTACTTTTTAACCAATAGATTTTTTAATACAAGCATCTTGTAAGCCTCTTGGAATGATGAATGCATTTTTTTTAAAAAGGTTTTTTTTTTTATATTAAAAATATCTAACTATTTTTTATTTAGGTTCAATAGAATTTATACTACCCACTTATTATAGAAGCTAAAAAAACTTTATGAGAAATAATTCATATAATACTATCAATTAACAATGTAACACTACTTCAACCTCTATTTCAATAATTAATTCAATTACTTCTGATAAATATGAATATAAAGATAAAGATAAATTGAAGATAAAAACATTGAAGATATCGAAACTAATTTAAAAATTAAAGAATATAAAAATACCTTGTTGTAGTAAAATTTAATTATATTAGTAAAATTTTTTATTTTTAATTTTATCTTTTTTAGACCTTGGATATTCTTGAACAAGCATCTAATCTTCCACAATGAAATAAGTAGTTAAAAAATATTGAATCAACTTTATACCAATCCAAAAAATGGTTAATGATATAAAAAGTTTGAAGTGAGCAAAACATCTTCTACAAACATGAAATGAGTGAAATAAAAATACATTTTATTGGCAATAATATTATAATATATAATTAAACAATTTAAAATATAGATATATGCTAAAATAGAAGGCTATTAAGAAAAGCCTTTATGATTTATAAAATAAAAACTATGTTATTATATATAGTGCTAATACATATACTCTTATTCTTGATAAATAAACTAAAGATAAATATTTATATAATAAATTTTATAGTATTCACTGAATCAATATATCAAGTTTTGAGCATTTAGTTTAAAAAAGTGATTTTTGTTTATATTGTTTTATAAAATTATTTGTAATTTTAAGAATTATAATGATTTAAAATTTTACGGTAAGACTATACAAACTTAATAAATTGATTTTCTTAATCTGGCAGGATCAAAATTTACAAAATTCAAAAAAAATTTCAAGTATATTTACTATTCAGATGAGTTTTTTTAAAAAAATATATATATAATTTTATATATTTTTTATATATATAATTTTTTGAAAATAAAATTAAAAGCCAGGTTGCCATGTCATTTTTAAAAATTTGAAGTTATGAAAACTAATTTATTAAGTTTGTATGGTCTAATAATCATTATGACTTGAAAATTGATACTAGTATTAATAAATTACCCAAAAATTCACACTAATAAAATCTACATTATGTTTTTTTAAAGCACTGATTTATAAATAATTCTAGAAGGGTTGTTATCTGCAAATAATCAGATATTCAGGTTGTAAACTCAGCTATCTGAGTAGACATACCCAGATAATCTTCAGGTAACAAAAGGTTGAATATTCATATACTGTAGATTATCCAAGCTAACTAAATATAAATAAACCAATAATAAACTTAATACTTCAATATACTGTACAAAAAGTTATTTTTAAAATACTATATTTTCCTTGAAAGCTATGTATAAAATTTTTAGGCCTAAAAAGGTTTATACTAAATTAAGCGATCAACCAAAATAAAGTAGTGCTTTGATAAAGACAACCCATATGTAAAAGCAAAAAGTTCAATTTGAATAAAGCAGGAATGGAGTGATATTGAAAATTTCACTAAGTGTATGGTTATATCGCAAATTAAGTGGTGTATGTCTGCAAAATCTTGCATTTTATTGGATGATATGTGGGCAAAACAGGGGTGTGAATGCATATCAGAAACTTCACATGTAGCACCTTCACAGGACATATGCAGTACTTTTTTCAATTGATTCACACGTGAGTTTATATTTATCGCGTTTCTTGTAATCTGTTTTACAATTAAGTTTTAAAATCCTTATATTTCTGTATTTAAAGCAAAATTATATGCATAAGTACAACTACAAATGTTTAGTAAAAACATGATTTTGAGATATAAATATCAGTGATCTGATTCAAATTTGCATAGGACTTTTTACTGGGCTGATAGTCACTGCTCATCAAAGATGAGAACGAAAAGTTCCTTAAATAGGATTATATTTCATAGATATGACGTTAGTGCTCACAACCTTATTGATGCATAAGTATTTCTCCAATTAATTAGTAATTGTAGTGATAAGCTATTAAGATTTATCTTATTGCAATTAACGTATCTTATTTATTCGCATTGATTTTAATCAATGCAGATAATTTATTGCGGTTTTCAAAATTCTGTAAATTTTGCAAATCATAAAAAAAAAAAAATCGATTATGATTAATGATTATTGATTGTCGCGAATTAAAATGAAATGAGGAGTTTCTATTGGTTTATTATAAAACCTGATTCTAAACCCTAATCCTAACCCTAAAAAAATGCCAAAAAAATGCACCACAAAAATTTGTATTTTTCGGTGGCTTATCTATTTTACACTATCTCTCGTTTCATTTTAATCTGATTTCATTTTAATCTGCCACATTTAATCGATATTTCAATTGGTTATTCAGAGATAAGCTAACACTAACTTAGTTTTTTATACGAATTACACCAACACGATCGAAGTTCGAATTTTTCTTCCCACGTTGACATAGGTTAATACAGTCTACAAGTGCAATGTTATTATTTTTATTACTTGAGAAATTCCGGTCGGGCGGTTGGATTTTTTTTTTTATTAATCTAAACTAATAGACTGAATTTCATGAAGCTAAAATCTTTTAATTTCTAAGGCTTTCTTAAAAGGCATTCTACTTGTTCAGGTACTATAACCATGATTTCAAGTTCTTTAATTAATTTCGAATCAGTTAAATTGTAATGCATTATAAAACTATGTTGAGTTTAAACCTATCGGACAAGAGTAATTTGCAGCTGTAATAGATATACACTAATCCGTTATCCAGTTTAAGAAATAATACAAAATTTTTAATTTATCAAAATTGGAATACTAATAGAATGATTTATCTTTATGTTAGAGGTTGTTATCAATATGAAGCTAGAAATGTAGATAGACCCGGGTTTACATATTTATCGTAGACCTAATTGTAGCTTTAAAAAAATTATTTGTACGTGGTATTCACGCTAAATTTGTAAATCTTTAGGTCTAATAAGAGATGATCATTTAGAACTCATTGTTGTTGATCAAACGATCTGCATTATCAGAAACATTCAAATTTTTAATTTATTTTATTATTGATTTGTTAGAGCGGTGTGACTGAAAATGTTCAAAAAAAAAGATTGATAGCCTTACATTTTACATATTATTGATGGGCTAGTGCATTTTTACGCAAACACGACTACACCAAAATTACGTCAACAGATTTTAATGTAAACTTTGTGATTTTAGTGTTAATGACTTGAAAATTTTGAATTTTTTTTTGTTTAAAATGGTTAACAATATGAAAGCGTTATTTAGCTGTGTTAATAATATTGAGTCGGATGATGCTGAAATTTGTAGATCCAAGTCAGGTTTTGACTCGAGTAATTTTTGTAGGTCTTTATATTTTGATTAAATATTAATTTTTTTTTTTAGACGGATATCGATAAAAATCAGCATCAATAAACATA